CTTATGCAACATCTCACCCTTTATTTTCATCCAGATTTGCATTCATTTCTCACCAAGATCCTGTATTGACAAATGAGTTGAACCTCCATAAAGCCTCCTTCATCACATCCCAAAGACCTTCAATGAGGTCAAGGTCGCAACTCTGTGGTGACCAAGTCATGCGTGAAAATGATTCCTCATGCTTCCTGAACCACTCTTTGACAGTTCGAACCTATTGAATCTTGGCATTCTTGTCCTGGAATATGCCCATGCCAACAGGGAAAAAAAATCCATTGATGATGGATGGAGGCAAACCCCTGGGTTGTGGGGTCGAATCCCTCCTCCAGTGGAGTTTGCTTTTTGGGTTGCTTTCTTCCCGCAGTCCAAAGACATACAGTTAGGCTAACTGACATTTCTAAATTGTTTGTTGTGTATGATGTGTGTATGTGTCTTCTTATGGGCTGTCCAGGGTGTAATCAAGTCCTGGGTGTCAGGATAATTGATAGACACGACCGTAAGCCAATGAGCACACATGAAACAGTATTGCTGAGAGGGAATGAATCTGCATTTAACATGGTGTCAGAAATGACCATAATATATGGAAGACTTAGGTTAGGTCAGGCTGGGAAACATGCACTGGTTCAGGGTTCAGGTTCCCACCATATGACGAAACACCTCAGGATCCCAGTTGTCAACCCCCCAGGCTGAAACGCGCTCCAGTCCCACCCTCTGGAAGTGGCAATTTATCTGCCACAGCCAGGTGTTACGTGGGCGTCCCCTCGGCCTGGTCCAGGCACTTTGGTCCTCAGCAATGAGGATCCTGTGAGCCGGATCACCCTCAGGGAATCACGCCATATCGCTGTAGTGCCGTAACTGCCGCTCCCTCGCAATGCAGGTAATGTGCCTCATTCAGGACTCCCTGAGCAACCGCTCATTCGACACAAAGTCAAACCAGCAATACCCAAGGACTCTCCAAAGATACACAATACCAAAGGAGTCCAGTCTTCCTCTCAGCTCACTGGATAGCATCCATGGCTCACAGCCATACAGCAAAACAAGGAGCACCAGGTTTTTTAAAGACTTCGACCTTTGTCCTCTTTCAAAGATATCAGGAGCGCCACACACCCCTTTCCAGCGACTTCATGACCCCCCATGCTCTCCCAGTCTGTCTACTGACTTCACAGGAAGAGTCACCAGAGACATGAATTTTGCTGCCAAGGTAAGTGAACCTCTTGACGAGGTTGACATTCTCCCCGCAGACAGACACCCAGCTGAAGGCTGTGCCCAAGAGGTCAGTAAAGGCCTGGATCTTGGCTTTAATCCAGGACACTTGCAAAGCCAGACACTCAGACTCCACACTCAGTCTCTCGGGAACCCTGATCAGAGCTTCCATTGAATTGTCGTAACCAGAGGATCAGTTTAAACAGCTGCTCAAAGTAGCCGGCCCAGCGGGTCACAACTACAGTGTTATCCATAAGGATCGTTCCACCTCCTGCTCTGACTGCGACTCAGCGAGGAACAGATTCGGATGTGCGTAATGCTTCAATTCTGCTGTAAGCAGGACGTGGGTCGCTAGACTACAGATGGTGTGTCACCTGCTCAAAGATTTCTCTACCAAGCGCCTCCTCATCTGCCCCCATTGCCTTTTCATCCAAGGTGCCCTGTAAGATTAAACAAGTCTGGGGTCAGAATTCACAAACTTGGCACTTCTGTAGGCCGTGCAGTTCTGTAGGAGCATCCAGCGTTTGCCCATGAGGATGTGATTGATCTCCCTTGTTGCATCACCAGAACTGGAGCACCAAGTCCATTGATGTGGCACAGCGGGCTGGAACCTGGATCCAGAAATGACTACTGGAGAAAAAAAGTATGCCGATGTTTAAACCACCAGAAAGCTTCACCTTCGATTCCCTGGAAGAATGGTAAATATGCTGATAATTCTTTATGTGCTACCAGACGGCTGCTAAGTTTAATGAAGAAACTGGTGAAGTTCATTAAGTAAGCACACTGATTTACGCCATGGTCAATGACATGGAGAGTATTTATAAGTCATTTACCTTTGTGGGGGGAGAAAAAGAAGATGACTTTAATACCGTTCTAACAAAATCTTACGTTTATTTTGTGCCCCAGAAGAAAAACATCATTCACGAAAGGGCACGATTTTATCAATTTGAGCCACAGTGAAATTAACCCATATGCGATAGATTAGTAGTTGGCATTTAGGATAAAGGATCTTTCGAAAAAACCTTGCAACTCGACAGAGATCTTATGCTTAAAACAGCTGCACATATGGTTAGGCTAGCTGAAGATGTAGTTAACCAAGTCAGCCAGCAGGGGGAGACAATAAGCAGTGTAGAAGAGGTTGCACGTCAGAAAACGCCAGCAAGAAAACATGATAAACCAATAGGTATCGAATGTAGAAAGTGTACGAAAAAGGGACACTGGGAGATAATGTGTTAATCCAAAGCTGTGCAAGAGATTACATAAAATAGCTCCTCCCTTTATCTTGGTGGCATAAATAATGATGACAGTAGCCCAGAACTTTGGAGAGTGGACTGGAAAATGGGACACGCTTTTGTCTTTTAAAATACATACAGATGCCGATGT